TTGCAACTGAGAGGCCGGCAAGTGAGGCGGTGAACGTTGGAGTCTGCAGCAAGCAAGCCTCCCTGCTCGCTTCAGTGCCTGGCTGCCGGCTGCCATCTTGGCTGACAGTTAATTTGCATATACTCACTGATTAGCCAATGAAAAGGGTAGCGGTCGTACGCTAATTACCATGTTTCTCTTTTATTAGTGTAGATAAATAATAATATATAAAGAGTGAATGCTATAAATTAAATGAGGCAAACCTCAGCACATTTGGAGCAATTTTCAAAGATCACCTTTTAAGGAGCAACTGAATTGTAATTGCCCGGTGGTTATAAATGGGAGTGTTTCCATAGAGCCCATTTAAGCTGCTGCGATAATTGGGAGGAAAGAATTACTCTTTATTCAGTCTTCTGTCTTAATTGGACAGTTAATTTTAAAAATTAAGTCAAACATAGGTGAAACTATTTTAAATTTGATTCTCTTTTTTTTATAAATGAGAAAACATTTGCATTTCACCAGTAAGTGGTTAGCATTCTTCTCTTTGAAGATCTCAAACAGAAGAAATTCCAGGGACTCAGGGGTTAGCTGAATGCATTTTCACATTAATATTCATAGGCCCTTCCCATGCACACTTGCTCTGGAATAACCTGGAGGAGGCTCGCTTCAATGTTTTTGGGATCCACTCAAGAAATTCAAAACCCTTGGAATTGACCCCTATCTGCACCCCCAGAGGGTGAGAGAAAATGTGCCTTTCATTCTGATCATTATTAACTAATCAGAGGCCCGGTACATGGATTCATGCACCGGTGGAGTCCCTCGACCTGGCCTGAGGGGATTGGGCAGGAATCGGCTCTCCGGCATCTCCCGAGGGGTCCCGGATTGGAAGAGGACAGTTCTCTGGTGATGCATCCCGGAATCAGGCTCCCCCCTCTCTGGTTCTGGGTGCGTCACCCACGAACCGCAGCCGCCAAATCACTGCAGCCCAGCAGCTCCTGCATTGAGCATCTGCCCCCTGGTGGTCAGTGCATGTCATAGTTATTGGTCGGACAGTTGAACGGTCGGATGGTCACTTAGGCTTTTATATATATAGATGCTTATTAGGCAGCCATGATCCTTACCCCGAAATACAGGTGTAAAAGGGGAGACAAAAATGGGAGATGTTTTTCACTGCCAACGCTCAAAACTGAGTATAGACTATGAATAGCTAGAAAACTCATCAAGGCAACAGGAATGCTGAGACTATGACGCAGAAAACCATCAAGAGAAGCTGATGCTGCCTGGCCAGTGTGGCCCAGTGGTTGAGCGTCAGCCCATGAGCTAGGAGGTCTCAATTTGACTCCAGGTCAGGGCACTTGCCTGGGTTGTAGGCTCCATCCCCAGTAGTGGCGTGTGGGAAGCAGTCCATCAATGTTTCTGTCCCTTTATCCCTCCCCCTTCCTCTCTCTAAAATCAATTTAAAAAAAATTTTTTTAAATAGAGAAGCAGACACCATTGAGACCCAGTGCTCCCTTCTCACACCTGGAACAACACCACATGTCTCTCCTCCTGTCGAGGCCACACCTCTGCTCCTTCCCCTTCTCTGTGTCAAGGTGGAAGGTGGTGGTTCCCAGGTCCTGAGGCTGAGTCTCCCTAGCGGAGCTCGCATGAGGGTAAACACCAGTAGCAATTCTGAACCCCAAGTCCACACTCCTGGGAGAAGGAATCTGGTTGGCTCTTTTTGGACTGACTGTCTACGTTTGATAGAATTCGCTAAGGGACAAGGCTGGGAGTCACACCATAGAAACGTTGAATGCCTGACAACCGAACCTAAATAAGTACAGATCTAAAAGTAGTGGGAGTAGACATTTTAAAAAGTTCTGTGTTTGCCCTCCGTCTGATCTCCTAGAGCTGGACATCTGGACCCAAATTACTTTTTCATGGTTTGCTTAATATTTTAAAGTGTATCCTGAAAATCAGTAATTAAAACCTTCATGCTTTCTGAGTTTCTTCTCTGACCTGTCCACGAACTTGTCCAAAACTAACATTCAGTTAGATTCCTTTCAATGGTGGTGTTTGTCAGAATGCAAGCATGAAGCAGCTGCAGAAGGAAGGATTGGATGTGTGTGTGTGTGTGTGTGTGTGTGTGTGTGTATGTGTGTGAGTGAGAGAGAGAGAGAGAGAGAGAGAGAGAGAGAGAGAGAAAGAGAGAGAGAGAGAGAGAGTTGGGTTGGGGAAAGCAGAAGAGACAAAAAATACATTCCCAGGTAGAGAAGTGTGATCACAGCTCCCCACAGATACACCAGGATTCTACTCTCCACGTGGGTCCTCACCTCAGATGGTGGGGTCCGAGGCCCAGGAGGAAACCCAACGAAACCACTGGACCTTCCCGAGAGGCTGGCCGTGTGCTGAGGCAGGGCAAGCTGAGGTTTGGCAACATTTGAGCTCACCTGGGTGGTTCGCTCGGTGGTCCGGGCCTGGAAATACCGGTTCTAACACAGCACAGTGGTAAAGTGGTCTCCAGACTAGCAAGGCAGTGGGTCACTGTGAGTAGCTTCGCAGATGGAGAGTGTGAATGAGGGCAGTGTGAGCATTCTGAGACAGAAAGATGTGCCATGTTTTAGAGATATTTGGTTTCCAGAAGCCAAAATGGCAAGATTACAAAGGGAAACTAGCAGAGAGTCTAAATACTCTTGAGTGCTTAAGTTATCCACGTTGAAAAACAAAAATTCAAAACTTTACATTTAACATTTGAAACTTCCAAGAGTCCAATTTAGAATAAACAATGAATAAATAATTCATTCAACAGATATTTTTTAGCACCTGTTGTTTTTGTTTTTGAGTTGGCAATGGAGACCTAGACTTCTCTAAACCCAAGAACACCAATTCAGCAAGTATTTGGCGATTTGCTCTTGTAAGCCATCTGTCTCTAGAGCCACCGAATAATGTTTTGGAAGGTTATTATACCCCAAATTGAAAACTGTTCTTTTATGTTCATGAGTTTTGATATCATGCTTTAATTGTACTTACTTTACATGGTAACAATCAAAAGGGGTCAGCTGCATGCACTGTAAACACCTCACTCAGTTCTTTCCTCTGGTGTTTTTAAGGAGCGCCGCAAATTCGGCCCCTTGGGATGGAATATTCCCTATGAGTTCAATTCTGCCGACTTTACAGCCAGCGTTCAGTTTATTCAGAATCACCTTGATGAATGCGACATTAAGAAGGTGAGTGATATTTTTTTCTCTTTTCTATTTTTATCGCTGTCCTTAATCAAGCCTCTATAGACATTTTCAGTGTGATATTCAGAGAGCCTGCTGAGGTCCCCCAGCTCCGGCACCCAGCCTGCTCCTTCCCCTCAGCCGTGTGCTGGCCAGCCCTTCCCACTCCCTCCCTCCTGCCCCCAGGAGTGCATTCGGACTCTCGCACACTCGTGTCCTCATGTCACAGCCAAGGGTCCCAGTGCGCTTCGAGAGAACGCACCTCGAGTCACACTTTTCTTTCTTCCTCTCCCTGTGTCTCCGCAGAAGTGACATGTTATCTCCCAGCCACGGGGAAGTCCTTTTTCACGTGAATCACATCTGAACGGATGTTTAAGCTCATGCATATGAATTGCAACAATTCCTGACAATGGTCACTAATTATCCTATTGAGCACTCTGGTCTTCAGAGTGCTCCCGCAGGCAGGGCCTCATCCCATTTTCACAGCTCTGTGGGGCAGACACAGAAGCCATTACTGGTAGCCCCTTTTTACTGATGAAACAAGAGACAAAAGAGAATAAGGGACTTCCTCAAGGTCACAGGACTGAGAATGCAAACCTGTTGTCCTTTCACACGGGAGCTGTAAAGGCCCGTGATCTGTCTCTCTGTGACCTTGAGCAAGTTCCTGAGCCTCTCTGAGCCTGTTTCCTCCCCTATGTCCTGGCTCTGGCTTCTGTGGAGAGTAAATGAGTCAGCACGAGACAGCACAGTGTGTGGTGCTAGTAGGGCTCAAAGCGCCAGCGCCCTGCTCCCCTCTCCTCCTAGTAGGTCCTGAGGAAGATTATAGTCACGGCACGGCACCGGGGGGACGGTGAGCCACGGGGAATCTTCATCCGGGCCGGTGGGAAATCCAGGGTCAAACCACCGTTTTTCCTTTCTGCTACAAGGGGATAATATACTGACTATGACGTTTTGATGAAAACTTGTATCACATTGGGTTCATATTCTGCAATGATCAACCTTTTGAGCTCGGCGTGTCAGCATTTTGAAAAACCCTAACTTAACTCTGGTGCCGTGTCACATATGGAAATTTTTTGATATTTGCAACCATAGTAAAACAAAGACTTATATTTTTGATATTTATTTTATATATTTAAATGCCATTTAACAAAGAAAAATCAACCAAAAAAATGAGTTCGCGTGTCGCCTCTGACACGCGTGTCATAGGTTCGCCATCACTGGCATATACAAACAACAGTGCTCTTGAAATAGTTGCTTTGAAAGGCCACGAAGCTGAAAAGTAAAGTTTTAATCAAGAGGAAGTAAAGAAAAATCAAGCATCCTTACGTCTCCTACCTCAGATGTTATTGAAGGGATTTTTAAATTAAAAAACACTATTAATATCTGGAATGCATTGCGAGCATAAAATGGCTATGGACATTAATCCATACTTTAACGTAGTTGTCACTCACAGAGTGAGATACCAAAGGATTTCGTTGCAGAAACATCTTGTGAGTAATTTCCGAGTTGTTCTCGCACTGATTCAGAAGGCATATTTCGAAGGAAGCATATCAGAGTGTTGATGACTTGATTTTTCTTTTCTTCACTAAACACAACCTTTCCTTGTCTAACAGCTCAGCACTACTGTAATGAGCATGATAGGTGATTACAAACACAGAGTGAAAAATAGGGTGTTTTAAACCACAGGTGAGCTCCACGGTCACAGCTGTGTGGCGTTGTGGAACTGTCTTTCGTGAACAAACCGTGGCCATTCCAGTCGTGTAAGCGCAAAAGATCTGTTAATACGACATGATGAGAAGCTTCCGCCGTCGAGCGGGGGCTTCCTTTTCCAGACCTCGGCCCCTAGGAGAGACCCGAAATGTTTAGGGGTTTTTGTTTGGATGGACAGTGAATCACTCTTTGTTCTTCCTAACGCAGGGTGTATCGTGGAGTACAGTTCGGTACATGATTGGAGAAGTGCAATATGGAGGCAGAGTGACAGACGACTTTGATAAACGTCTACTTAATTGCTTTGCTAGAGTAAGTCAATTGTGGTGGTGGGGTGGGGGAAAGGCATGAAGACATATTTTATTGCATTTTCCTTTTAAGCAAAAACATTTTTTTTGGTAATAGAAGAGCCAAACTTAAGGGGGGAGGGAGTGGGCGAGGAAGGTACAGAGCCGAGCTGCTACAAAGAGTCAGCCAACAAAACCAAGTTAAAACCAAAGCCAAGCCAAACTTAAGGGGGGAGGGAGTGGGCGGGGAAGGTACAGAGCCGAGCTGCTACAGAGTCAGCCAACAAAACCAAGTTAAAACCAAAGCCAAACCAGCCAGCAATCTGCTTGTGGTCTGTGAGTCTTCCGTGTAGATGAGCCGCGCATGCCCAGGGCCCCCCACCCCCTCCTCCTTGAAAACACTGCACATAATTTCTCTGCTTCTTCCTCTGAAACCACGCAAAGCGATTTCAAGCCCCAAAATAACTGATTGGAAAATGAACCATAATTTGAGTTTTCTCATCTTTTCCATTAGGACAGACAATTGAAAATTGATGAAGTGCTCATTTTTTTTTTCTCTGTGCCCAGTAAAACCCACATATATCATATTGAACATTTTCTAGAGAATGTTCTTAGCAATTATGGCTTTCACCTTTCACATCAAGGATGAATAGTATAAATAGCCCATCAGACTCAAACTCTTCTTAAAATTTTTACATGTCAAAGAAGGAATATATATTACCTAAGTGGGAGAAAACCAGATACGTATTTTATGGTTACTTGAATTCTTTATATTAGAATCTATATTGGTAATTCTCTGTGTCAATGATTCTCCCCCTCGAAACAAAATTAAAACCTCAACAGAATTAAGAACACATGCTTTTGGGGTTACTTTGGTAAATTGGGGGTTTACCAGGAAGCTGATGTTTCCTTCAACCCTTTACACGTTTTTCTGAAGCCGTGTGTGGAGAGGTGTGTGTCGGTAAGGATGGTGAAGGCAGGAGTCAGGCTGCTGGACGTCAGACCGTCCACACCTCCCGGAAAGCCATTGGGCAAATTTACTAAAATTAAGTATCCTGGGTAGGTCCATCCCAGAGTATTTCTAGGAAGAGTCTACAAATGGATATGCTGACAAATGTCCATGGTGATACTCTGTGGGAAGTTGAAGGCAACCTAGGAGTCTTCACGGGGATGGAGGAGTTGAATGCCGCGGCCGCCTGCCGTGGAACACAACGCAGCACTGGGAGGAAGCGATCCGTGTGACAGCATGCACAGGTCTTACAAACTTACTGTTGAGTGCAGAGGTTAATGAAATCAAATGAGATCTATAAAGTTATACGTGTATATTTCACAAGGATAAATGCATCGCTGGGGACATAGATCAAGGACATTTAAATAGATGCCCTCCGAGGGAAGGAGACTAGGAGTGGATAGCAGCGCTGAATGGGGAAAAGACTAAGGTGAAAGGTGCCTAGACTCATGAGAACAATAAAATCAAGGAATATGATAAACTCACCTCTGTATCCGAGGTTCAAAGGAGAAAAAGGCATCGCAACCTCGGCTTCATCTTATCTTCTAACCAGGAGATCTAACTTCGTTGTTGCCACTTCACCCTACGTTACCTAGCATTGTCCGAGAGAGAACTGGTTTAATTGTATATCAGTGCCTTCCAGTGGGATCCTGCATTCCTGTGGCTTTCAGTTTGGGGCTAATCTCTTCTCTATTCTCAGCATCTTATGGTGTGTCTCCCCTAAAACCAACAATTGTAGAACCTTATTTGTCTTTGGAGTATGACTGCGTGTCTTTGTAAAGTACCTTCTAGAATCTCCCACAGTAATTCCATGTAGACTTCATATTCTGTATTTTTAATATATCCCCAAAATGTCCTCCAAATTGGATGAAACTCAGCTATTTGTGTTAGTGAATCCAACTAGTTGTGTGCATGTAAATAAATTAATGGAAAAACAGGTGGAGACTTCTATTTGCTTTTATAAATATACTAGAGGCCCGGTGCAAGAATTCATGCACGGGTGGGGTCCCTTGGCCTAGGTGGCAATGGGGGCCAATAGGGGCCTTCTCACCCAGTCCTGGGGGGAGGGACTGCTGGAGGTTGGCCCAGGAGGTTGGCTGTGGGAGCGCACTAACCACCAGGGGGCAGCTCCTGCATTGAGCATCTGCCCCCTGGTGGTCAGTGCGGGTCATAGTGCGTAACGGTCACTTAGACTTTTATATATGCAGATGTCACCTGACAACACAGAGCTCACAGTGGTCACTGGTGGTCTATGTGCTGAGGGCCCCTGGCCTTCCCCTGCCTCGTCATCCCCATCCCCAAGAACATAATCTGTCTCAGAATGACCACGATCACACCACTGTGCTCTCTAATAGCTCCCAACTGTCCCCCACTTCTTAAATTAGCACGTCATCAGCCTGACAAACACAGTCATCCGTAATAGGGCCCCCCTTCACCTTTCCTGTCCTCTCTCTCACCACCACACTAGATTTACCCGAGCCTTCGTCCTTTCCCCCACCTGCCTCACATGTGCACTAGTTATTCTGTGCCTTTGCCTGTGTGGTCTCCCCATCACCAGTCCCACTGTCACAATCCTGTCCTTCAAGGTTTACCTCCAAAATCACCTCTTAGATAAAGCCTTACCTGACATACCTTACCTTATCACTTCTATTTTCTCTCCCATACAGGTCTGGCTGTGCTTTCCTCCTGCTTTGCACCTCCTTGGTACTTGGCTTATTTTTATTTCCCCGGCTCTTGCCTCGGTGCCCTTTGTACTGCGGCTATTATGTAATCGGCTTAGCCCTCCACTGGGTCACAAGCTCCTTGAAGGAAAGGACTGTGTGTGCCTCATCTTTGCACTCTGTTCTCATTCTAAGCTCAGTGCCTCATGCGTGGAAGTTGAATAGGATAGGATTTCGGCAAATGGAGCAACCGGGAGAACGGGTACACGGGGTGTTTCATATTCAGAACAATCGCTGGCCCTAAAAAGAGTGGGAAGAAGGCTATGGAGCAAAGAGCCTGGCGCAGGTGTGGTTAGCCTGAGTAAGCACAGTCCCACCCCTTTCCACGCAGCGTCCTCGAGAGATTCAGACATCCGCCTGCTTTTCTGCTCCCCTGTCTCCCCATTAGCTCCCTTCCGACCGGGAAAATTGCTCTGTTAGACACTAAAGTCATTGTCTCAAATCGGGCTGGTAGGCATTCAGCATTATTTTTTCCTCTTCAGAATAAGTCTGTTCACACCGAGTATATATTTGTGCTCTCGCTGCTACATTACACATAATCAGCTCATATGGAATGAGAAAAGGATGTCCTTAAGCGAACAATAAGACGGTTGGATACATTTGCTTCTTGTGGCCAAGGACAGAACTTAATTAACGGGGGAGCTCTCCAGCGCAGGGTGGGAAGGGAGAGGCGTGGAAGTTTTCCTGGCCTCGTGCTGTGCTCAGTGCTGCCTTGAGCCCCAGTGAGCATAGACCCAGCCCCCCTGGCAGGAGCCCCGCTGGGGGGAGAAGGGCGGCACTGAAAAGGCCAGATACTGTCTCGTGTGTGTGTGTGTGTGTGTGTGTGTGTGTGTGTGTGTTGCCTCATCTATTCTGCAGTGTGTTGCCACTCCTCTTTAAAAGAGGGATCGAGTCCTGACCAGCGCACAGACATGTTGCCTGTTCAATTCCCAGTCAGGGCACATGACCCCGTAGGGGGATCCATCCCCAATAGGGGGCATGCAGGAAGCAGCTGATCCATGTTCCATTTTCACATGGATATCTCTCTCTCTCTCTCTCTCTCTCTCTCTCTCTCTCTCTCTCTCCCCCCTGTCTCTCTTTCCCTCTCCCTTCCTCTCTCTCTAAAAATAAATTAAAAATCTTAAAACACACACACAGAGGGCTGGCGGGTCAGCCAGGTACTGGATCCGGGAGCAGACTTGCGCGGCCGGCTCCACTCTCCACGGTCAGCAAATATCTTCTCTGCTGTGGAACGGGCTGGGGCTCCATTGCTTTTGCATCCCGGCCTCTTTTCTTCATCTGCGAGCTCATCATTCTGTCAGTGGCTGCATTTGGGTGCTTTCAGCCTCAATATTAAAAACTATTAAAATGGAAATAAGGCAACCCTTTCTCTTTCCCAGTAGCAGTTTTCATTTAGATGTTTATCGACTTTATTTCTTCTCTTTTCTCTCCCATGCAGGTCTGGTTCAGCGAGAAGATGTTTGAGCCGTCGTTCTGCTTTTACACCGGATATAAAATCCCCCTCTGCAAGACCTTGGACCAGTATTTCGAGTACATCCAGTCGCTGCCCTCCCTCGACAACCCCGAGGTCTTTGGGCTTCACCCGAATGCCGACATCACGTAAGTTCCTGGCCCTTTTGAAATCTGAAGGCATCATTTGTAACCCAGCCTGGCAATAATGCGCATTTCCTCTCTCTCTCAGTCTCTCTCCTTTCCCTGCTTTTCATTTTATTATGAAAAATTGTGTCACTTTCTGTCTCCCAATTACAACTTTGTCGGATCTTGGCAGCTCTCCCCTCACTAAATCCCGATGCTCTGGAGTTTATGGCAGTGTGAAGGCTCTAATTTATGCACTGATTACTTCTCTGTCGTGTCATAAAACCAGCTGGTGTGATTGGCGCCGATGCTCTCCACGGATAGGACAGTAGTCCTTGCCTCTTACCTCAAAAAAGTCCATGAAAAATAATGGTCCTAAGTAGAATCTAGCAGGGCCAGGAGGGGCGAGAGAGGAGGGCGCGGTGGTACTTGTGCTTGATCTGCTCCCTGGCTGCTCAGGGCCTCCTCTGTCGCTAACCGTCCACGGGGCACCAGGCAGTGAGCAAGACGCACAGGGCGGGTGAGGGGAGGTCCCTGTGCCAGTCCCACAGGCCAGAGGCGGGTGAAGAGGTAGGAGGGGCATCCAGGTCCCAAGCCCCTTCCAGGACCCTCCTGTGGAGGAGGTCGCATCCCTCATCTCCCCGGAAGTCCCACCTGCAGACCGAGCCTCTGGCTCCACGGAGAGGCCCCAGCTCAGCCTCCTCTGGGTGGTCTCCTCCGGCCCACTGACGCAAGGCCACAAAGTCTACTCTAGGAGCGTGGTTTTAGGAAGTAGAGAGAAACCAACAGCCCTCTGGAAGGTTGATCTAGGGCAGTGGTTCTCAACCTTCTGGCCCTTTAAATATAGTTCCTCATGTTGTGACCCAACCATCAAATTATTTTCATTGCTACTTCATAACTGTAATTTTGCTACTGTTATGAATCATCATGTAAATATCTGATATGCAGGATGGTCTTAGGCGACCCCTGTGAAAGGGTTGTTCGACCGCCAAAGGGGTCGCGACCCACAGGTTGAACCGCTGTTAAGCTGTGATGGCTGAGACAGTGTGTGGCGTGCCCTCTCCCCATCACTCCCCTGCAGCCGCAGCCCACATCCTCACCTGGTCGTCTGCCCTCACAGGCAGCCCCGGAGCCCCCGTGCCCTCCAGTCCTGCACGCGCCTCACCCTTCACCAGGCTTGGCCTCCTGGCCTCTGTCACCCACGTTGATTCTAACTTCTCCGTTCCCTCTCATCTCTCTCATGTTCTTTTCATCTTCAAAGATGTGAGCGTCGCTCCAAAGGCCCACGGATGGCTAACGCTCCCTTCAGACCCCACGGGAGGAGCCGATGGCCCTTTGGTGGCGGCGCTGGCTGCTCTTTGAAGAATAAAAGCCGTCATAAAGTTAGCTGGAGGCAGGAAACAATTAAAAGGATTCCTCAGGGACCCATTTGCGCATCAACTTAAACATTATCTGAAAGAGAAAACAGAAAGAGGTTTGCTTTCGCTGAGACTTTTAAAAATGTGAGTCGGACCGCATCAGGCCTCTGCCCAGAACCCTCTGAAGGCTCATCTTACTCTGAGTCAAGGTCCAAGGCCAACAGTGACCTCCAGGTGACCTCCAAGGCCCAATAATTCCATCTGCACCCACCCCTGGCTGGTCCCTTTCTGTCGCCCCCCTCCTCCCCGCCCTCCCCGTGGCCACCAGCTCCAGCTACTGCCGGCTTCCGGTCCCTCAGACAGGCCCGAGGCTCTCACCACAGGCTACCTGTACTTCCTGGCGGTCCTTCCCACGCAGCACTGTGGCTCACCTTTTCACCTCTTCCGTCCTTTGCTGAAATGTCAAAGAAGCCTTCCCTGGCCGCCCTATTTAGCAATGGCTAACCACTCCCCACCACCTCACAGTCCATCCTCCTTGTCTGCCTTTTCTATAGGTTTTCTCACCAGCTGACACATCTGTATGTATTGTTCACTGTCATCTGGCTGCCATCATTCAACATAAGCTCATTCTGTTGACGCTCTTGCCTCTTTTCACCGCTGTTCCTCCCGTGCCAGCCCGTGCCTGATGGCAGGGAACATGTGTTGACTGCGACCGCCATACGCAGTTCTTCAGGTTGTGGAGGACCCAGTGAGGGGGCTAGTCCATAGAAAGGTCTCCTGATGCATGTGAGCGGGCCGGAAAATGGGCAGTAGGTGGTAATGCACTTGTAAACGAGCAGGTGACGTGGTCGCGAATGAGGCCTTAGAACTTGGGCTCCATCCTTGGCGAGAGCCCTTGGAGCCGTGGGAGCCGGTGCCTAGGAGCGCAGAGTAAGGCTGGCCGCATCTCACCCTGGGACGGCACGCGCGCCCGCGCCTGCATCACCGAGGGCAGTTTGATCACCAGCTCGCAGGGAAGATAAACCGAAGCTCGGAACAGCTCAAAGCAGGGCAACTAAAGTGTAATTCAAATGGGAAGCCAGAGAGAGACTTTCCCTGGACTTTTATTGGAGCCATTACAAGCCCGCACACGAGTTGCAAGTACGCAGTAAACTCTCATAGACCCTTTACTGAGAGTCACTGATGACTCACATTTGGTTCCATTTGCATTTTCTTTTTCTATATTTAAACCTCTGTGTATTTATATGTCTACAGCTATGTCCGTATATAAGCACATTTCTCTCTCTCTCTCTCTCTCTCTCTCTCTCTCTCTCTCTCTCTCTCCTTGTAGCCCCTCTCAGTGGATGAGCTAGGAAATAAGTATTTTTAAAACATCATAGGCCAATACTAACAGGTCCGAGTCCAATTGTATACCTCAGGGCTGGGCCTTGTCTTCCCTCATTTCATGTTGCTGTCTCTTTCCTCCCATGGTGAGAACTCCGGTTCCCAGCAACTTCAATATCTTTACTCACTTGCTCTGAACACCCCACCAGCACCCCAATGTCCTAAGTGCAGGTCAAGGTTTCTTTGCTGACCTTTTTGCCCTTAGGACAGATCCCAGTGAGGGTGCACAGGGTGCTCTGCTCAAAAGTCAGGCCGACGTTTTTCTGTGTGGTTGTGCCATCCGTTGATATGTAGGTACTTTGTTTTTGTTTGTATTACATTTTAGTTTTTTTCCATCTTTGTTCATGATGGGTTTTTAATATATTTTTCTTGATTTCAGAGAGGAAGGGAGAGGGACAGAAAGCTAGAAACATCAATGAAGAGAGAGAGAACCATTAATCAGCTGCCTCCTGCACGCCACACGGGGGATCGAGCCCGAAACCCAGGCCTGTGCCCCGACTGGGAATCGAACCATGAGCTCCTGGTTCACAGGTTGACACCCAACCACTGAGCCACGTCAGCTGGGCTGTCCATTGCTCTTTTTGCCCAGACATACATACACATGTACTTAGATATTCTCATGATCCTTTCGTTCTTAAACAAAGTTGCCATACTAATTCTGTGTCTTGCCTTTTTCACTTAACGGTGTATCTTATAACCACTCCGTTCAGCTCATAGATGCCGCCCTCATTACGGTGCAGCTGCAGGCTCCTCGGTTCTCATGCTCCATCGTCCCTGCATCCTTCTCCTGAGGGTGGGCCTTTAGGGTTGCTTCCAGTGCTTCACTATCCCAAATAACTCCTCAGCGAATAACCTCCTGCGTGCCGTTTCCCATATAGCGGGGCATGTGTTTTCAGGGTAAATTGCTCTCTGGGATGCTGGCTAGACCAAGGCCTAGTGAATGTTGCCAAAGTCCCTTCCATCGGCTGTGCTGTTACTCTCACCAGCAGTGCGGGCGTGCCTGGCCCCTCAGTCTCACCCACAGAGCAGTGGTGAGGTTTTGAATTGTCACCAGAACGGCAGTGAGAAATGGTGCCTCAGCATGGTTTTAATTTATTTTCTCTCATTTTGAGTGAAATTGAGCACATTTGCCTACATTTACGGGCTATTTGCACTAATCGACCACCTTGGAGGCCCTGTGTGTGATGTAGGCTGCAGTCGGGGCCGGCGATGGACTGCAGAGGTGGAGTGAAGCTGCAGAGAGGTCCCGGGGGGGGGGGGGGGG